CCCCCCCCCCATAATTTAGTTTGTTCCTGTTCGTAGGTTGCACACAGATGGCTTAGACATTCAGGGGTCACTCAGACATGCCAGGCCCAGCTTGCCAAGCCAAGGAGAAGGTATCTATCTTCTGCTCATTCCACAGCACACTGTGTCCCCTCCTATAGAATGAGGTGGGTTCAGGTCAAGTTCACACACCCAGAACTCTGTTAGGGACTGGTTCCCTAGCATTGCAGAAAACAGGACATGCCCTTACTCCCAAATCTTTCTACTTCTTTTGTTAATTTATTGAGGCAGTAGTTACTTATTTAGCGCTTACTATATACACGGCATTGGATTTTGTTCTGGAGAAAGAGGGGGAAGGTAGCTTCTGTCTTAAAGGAGTTTCTAGATTAACAGGAAGTAACTATCAGCACTTCCTCTTCTGCTAAGTGCTACCTCCCCCGTGGGTTATTAAAATCAGGGTTCAACACATTCTGTGACACATAGTAAGTAAGTGCTCAACAAACAATAGCTCTGGTCATGACCTTCCTGGCTCTTTTTAATCTGTGACTTCCTTTGGGGTAGAAATATTTTTAGGGTCACCTACATCCTCATACCTAGTGTGTTGCAGGAGCTGGAAGAATGTAGTAGATGGAGGAACAAGACACTATGGGAAATGGAAGAGGTGGTAAGCGCAGTATACCAAGGGCAGGAGAAAATGGAACTCCTATGCCAGACAGGGATAGGCATCCTCAAAGCCGAGCGCCCCTGGCTGCTTCTGGTCTCTGAGACAAAGGCCAAGCAAGGCCTTCCTGGGCTGATTCTGACAGCTTACTGGGGTTTGAGGGAGTGGTTCAAGTAGAGCAGTGGCAGGAGCTGGACTCTAAGTCTCGGGGGGACTGTGGTCTGGAAACCTTTCATCCAGACCCTAGGGAGGACTGTGAGAAGCTGGCCCACCTAAAGATGCCTGTGACCCCCTCAGATGTCCAGGGGAAGCTGGGGGTGCGGGGGGAGGGACACAGGTCAGAGCTACCCAGGAACCTTTCTGAGCTGGGAAGGTTGCTTCAACTCTCTGGTCTGGGAGGTAGGAGGGATGATAGAGGGATTCTTTTCTGTCTAGGTCTCCATATGTCCCTTTAGTCATTCGTGTGTGGGGTGGCATTTGAGGGAGAGCAGTGTGATCAGGACTTTTGGGCCAACACTGCCCCTCCCTAGGGGTTGTCCTAGGTGCTCAGGCCACCCCAGGCTCACATGGCTACTTCCTCGTGCTGCAGCAGTGAGCAAACAGGTCTGACCTATGGATACCTGACTCATGTCTGTGTCAGGGGCTGGGAATGAGTGTGCCTTAAGGCAGGAGACCCTGATACGAGAGCACAGGCAAAAGGACAATGCGCGTTCACTGCATGCTCTACCTAGCTCCTTAGCTTTCTTCACTTCGTCTTGCAATCATCCCACGAGCTAGCACTGTCCTGCCCATTTCACACACAGGAAGGCTGAGCCAGACATGTTAAGCAACTTACCTAAGTTTGAGGGCTGGGATCCATGGTTCTAAAGTACTTTCTGAGACTCTGGCTAGTACTTTGTCAAGGGTCACATATCGCCTCCAGGAGTGGAAGACTTCCAGAGTGCTCAGAGGACAAAGGAGTTAATTAGGAGATGTTTTTGTGGCATCCAAGAGCCTCAGTACTAGGTCAGGCTCCTGGAGGAAGAGTCTGACATGCAGCAGGTGCCGCTCCACTGTGGCTCAGTGCTGTGATTCTTATGAGGCTCCTGGCTTCTCACCTTGAGTCAAAGGCACCTCCTCATCCTCAAGACTCCACCCCTGGTTAATGAACCAGTGCACTTCTGCCCATCCCATGGGGCTGTCTGTCCTGCTTGGACCCTGCAGGGGGCAGACTTGTGCCAGAAAGCCTGCTGGTCACCTGCTGGAACCCAAGAGAGAGGGGCAGGGCTCTAGACCTGGTCCCAATAGCTGGCTCTGTTTATCTCCAGCACTGGGCATGGCAGCTGGACACTTGGGGTGCAAGGTATAGCTGAGGTCAGAGTTCCATGCTTGAGACCCCTTTGGTACTTGCCCCCTCTATTCTGAGGGTTGACAAAGACCCAGAGTACAAGATGGGGCTACCCTAGCCTTCCTGGGGGTGGTAATCCTACTGTTCTACCCAAAGAAAGCCTTCAGTAAGGGCTGGGAAGGGATCTCATTGCAAGACTGTGGTCAATAGGGCATGATGATGTACTGTCCCAACATCTCCTATGTCTCTCCTGGGGCCCTGATCGGGGTTCATGTATCTCAGGAAGCCTGTGTCCTTTTGGATGGTACTCCTGGGGTTGTTGGCGTTGGGGTAGAGCAGAACATGTGAGCTGTGTTCCTTTGAGCAGCTCTTGGGGTTTCTGGGAGAGCTGGACACACTGTGCTCCCCTTCCATGGGGTTTGGGAGGACACAGGTGGGTAGCTGTTGAGACTCTTCTGGGCACCTGTTAGGGGTGGGCTTTTGGACAGGCTGGCAAGTGTCTGGCACTTCTCCTCTGGTCCACTTTTATGAACAGTCATAACAACTCTGTGGTTTCTTTCATCCACGCATCTCAGAGCAGCTTGAAAGTAAAACCCACAACACACAGCGTGGTTAATGACAGCCTGGAGTACCAGGCCTGGCCACAGACATGCTGTTGTTAGCGTAGTTAAGTGGACTGCACAGTACTCCTGTAAGTGACAATCACAGAGCCAATCAAACAGGCTGCTGAGGGGAATTTGCTTTGTGGTTCAGTTAAATGTTACTTGAATGGAGGGGACGCGGACTCTGAGGTACCTGCTCTCAGTAGGCCTGACTGTGTATTTTCTATAAACCACAGATTCTCTAAGCACATGGGAGAGAGAAGGGATGCTGTGGAATTCTCTAGACCATAAAAGCTGGGTGAGGGGAGTGAGGACTCAGTACCTCTGAGCAGGAGGTTTCTTCCAGATGGGAGCTGTTGGTCAGCATGGTTGTACAGGAAGAGGGCCCTGGACCTTGGGCCGTGAAGGCAGAGCATGGCCACAAGAGGACTGGAGAGGTACGGCTTCAGACTGGGACTCAGATTAGGTACCCGCTATGGCAAGACACATGGCTCATTTGGAGCAAACTTTCAAAATCTGGGGCAGTAACCAAAATTACCCCCAGGAAAGAAAATGCTTTTTGTATTTTGGGGGAGATGATATTTCTAGGGAATTCTGGGCCTCGTAAAATGGGAGTTTTAAGACCTAGTCAGGGTAAGGTAGACCCAGTGGAGTTCAGGATTACATTAGGGTCTTGGGGAGCTAGACACTGATAAGCTTTGTTAAGCCTCCAGAGTTTTAAGAGGAGCTACCTATTGTTCAAGGCTATGGTCACTTCTTATCAGCAGTCTTGAAGACCCCTGTGGAAGGGCAGCCAGGGCATGGGGAATGGCTTCCTTGATTAGTTAGTATGTGTTCAGACTATCCTGAGCTCAATGAGGCTGGTGGCAGTGAAAGCAGATGGAAGTTTGCGTACCTGGGAGAATTGGAAATGGAGCAGAGTCTTGGGAATCCTGCCCAGGAAGAGATGAATCACTCTGTTAAGGCAGCTGGGATGAGGGTGGAATGTCACCAGGACCAGAGGGAAGACAACTTAGCCCCTGAACCTCTGAGTACTTTTCACAAGGCCTAGAAAGACACACATGACAACTGCTGGGCCAGGGCATAAAGGAAGCTAAAGGTGTGATTTTTCCAAGGGAAGTCTGCTAGACCTGTCCCTAATATTGGCCAATGCCACGATGACAGGCTGCAGGGAGGAGGGGAGGGGCAGTGCTGTCTTGCTTGGCCCAGGTTCTCAGACAGTGATATGTCCCTACTGAGGACTGCCACACAGACCCCAGGGTGTCCAGCTGGCTTGGCTTTGCAGATGGATGGTAACATTTTAGTCTAAGCAAGTCCCAGATATTGCATGCATCTTTCACTGAATCTGGCAACCTTGTGCTTCCCGGGTCTATGACTGGTCTTTCACCATTAAAACCCAGTGAGACCTTGTCTGGATCTTCTGGAAAAATTAAGTGGGTGGTTAGAAATGTCTTCATTGTATGTATTTTTATTTCCCATCATGCTTTCTTTAACTCTGTGTACATGTTCCTACATGTCTGTACTAGAACCTGATATCAGCTGGGAACAGATTTGACAGGGGCTGTGGACGTGGTTATGTAGTTCAGAATACATAGTAACCAGGCTTTTCAGAGGGAGGGACTAGAAGTCCCAGGCACTTTGTGCCTGACATATTCCTTGCTATAAGGCAAAAGCAGATGAGTTGGGGAGATAGGGATCATTTGTGGATACCCTTGTGTTCTGGGTGGGTGCTGGGTGGGATCTGAAGAGGTTAGGGCATTGGATCATTTCTTAGGCACCTTGTATGGTAGGGAATTCTCTAGGAGCTTGTGTGGACCTCAAGCTAAAGCAAGCAATATGAGAAAATCAGAAAGATAAAGCCTGAGCTGGCAGACTGCCCCAACGAGAGGCAGCCTCTGGCCTTCTTGAGTGATCTTACTCCGACTGGAATGTGGCCTGACTGTTCCACTGGCTACTGTCTGATCTGCCTTCTCTGATGCCTTCAGGGTTCCTTGGTGGTGGTGAACAAAGCTTAGAGAAACAGGGAAAGAGATGTCCTGCTGGGAAAATGCCTTTCTTTCCTGAAAGTCATCCTTGTCTCCTCTCTGAATGGAAGGGACTGTTCAGAGTTGGACAGATGAGCACTCAGGTTTGATATCTTGAGTCTTTGTCTAGGCAGAATCTTGGCTTTTAGATGGAAGATTCTTTGAAGGTAGAGAGAGACTTCTTTTTAACAGAGAAATTTATTTGTCAATTGAGTTTGAACTTGCTGACCTTCCAAGATGGGTTTGAGACAAGCCAGGATTTTCTGTCCCCATCAGCAGTAGCATCTCCCCTCTACTTCCTGCCCCTCCCCAAGAAGCTGAATGGTAGACAGATAGTATCCTCCGGGTGCTCTAATGGGTACCTGGATCTGAAGGAGTTTCTAGTGTAAGGGTCAGAGCCCAGGCCAAGAATCCTGGCCAGGGGGCCTGCTGTACTCAGGATGCAGTAAGCCGCTGCCTTGTTGGGCAGTTGTATCTTCTTGGACAACTGAACTATGCTGCAAAAATCAGCATTCCATTAAACCAGGGCAAGTGGCTGGCGCCCTGGAAAGTACATTTGACTTGGTTCCTGTTATATGGGTTTCAGAGCAGCTTTGAGCCTTGAAACGTGTGACATGATTCACAGTTTATCAAACCTCTTTTGGGCGCGATTTTCACAGTCCTGTGACTGACATGACACCCTGTTGGGAAGACTGAGGCTCAAGGGGAGGGACTGAGCAGCTTAGACCCTTGGTCATTAGCTCTACCTTCCATCCTTGTGTCCTCCAAGTTCCTTCTACAAAGCGAGGTTTCCGGTTCAGTTGACCATAGATGCCATTTCAGCCTGGATGTGCTGCAATGTCTGCTTGGTGTCCGGTGACACTGCACTTATGAAGGGGTCCTTCTCAGGGACAGCCTGAGGAGGTGGGTCAATGCTGCCACTGCCCGGGAGGTTTGGAAGGTAGGGAGGAAGTTTGTGTCATTTTCTTGAGGCATATGATACTGGACACAAAGAGAGACCCTGAAATCTGTGAGTGTTTTGAAAAACAAAAAAACCCAAAACTTCAGTCATGTCATGTGTTTAGAGCTCTGCAACTCCTCTTCATTCTGTGGTTGAATGATGGGGTAGGGGGCTGTGAGGGATGGAGAATGAATCACGGCCACATTCCACCAACATCTAGACTCCGTGGGATGCATATGGGCAGCAAACCATATCATGTCTGAGGTAGATGGAGGAAGTCTAAGCCATTGTCAGGCCCATCCCTATTCAGACGGGTGCACTGAGGCTCATAGCACACAGGACTCACTCAGGGCATTGGGGTAGAGCTAGGTCTGGAGTCCAGGTCTCCTGTTCCTTAGGCCAGTACATGTTTGATTGATGTTAGAAAGAATGGTCTCAGAACTGGATCCTATTTTGAGGTAAAACCTGATAAAAGGGTAGATATTCCTGATTTACTCAATCCCCAAACTGGACTCTTTCCAGGGCCGGGCTACCCTGGGGGTGTTGCTCCCCAAGAGCAGTCCCAGGAGAGGGCTGGCCTGTGAGTTAGGTTCTCTTCTGTGATCTAAGCTGAGCCTTTGCTTTTATGGGTCTCTCCCTGTCCTGGGATGTTCAGGCTGCTGGGTGGAAGAGAGCAGAGGAATTCTTCCCTGAGGCCTTGCCACACTTCTGTCCTGGAGGTGGTCATGCAGACTACTACTGCGCTAAGGCAGGGGTCTGAGAGTGGCTATAGAACCATCTCTTTTGACTTGTCACCTGCTGTGGTATACTGCAGTCTCCATGACCCTGGAGACTCTCTCTGGCCCATGGTGACCCTTGAGATGCACAAGTCAGAGTTCTAAGAACATTGGGGCAGCAGACACCTGCTTATTCAGTAGCCCTGAGAGAAATGGAGAATCAATCCAGAGATTTGAAAAAAAAAACAAAAACAGAAAACAACCAAACCAAAACCAAAACCAAAACCCAAAACAAATAAACAGAACATTACCACCAAAGAAAATGAAATGTTAATTTCAGAAGCCCACCAATTGGGGATCCCACATAGAGGTAGAGCCCTGTAAAGGGCTTGCTAAGGGTCACCCACCGTCTTGTCTATTTTGTAAGACGAACACTGTGTGGCTAATGAGGCAAACTGGACTTGTGTGGATTAAGGCCTTGTTTGGTGGTGCCAGAGAGACAATGCATTCTGCTCTAAGACAAAGTGGGGGGTTTAGGGGAGGTCTGGTCAGGGTCCCAGTCTCTGTTATGATAGTCTGGCAGTTGTCAACTGGGGGTCATTTTGCTACCCTCTCCTTCCCAGGGGACATTGGCAATGCTTGTAGGCATTTTTGGTCATCACAACTAGACCAAGGAGTTGCTTCTGCCAACACTGCCAAGTCAACAGAGCAGGCTTAGGCCTTGTAGGAGCCGGGAGACGGCAGCTATGAGGAAGCCCTGCTAGGGCACCCGAAGCTGCTCTTTCTCCCAGGAAGAGCTGCATGGAGCATCCATCACTAGCTGGGCATCCGTGGACGTGTCTACCACACTGGGCGTGGTCATCACAGCCAATCATCCTCCTTGAGTAATTTCAGAGGGAAGCTTATAAAGCGTTTTAAGAGGTTGAGAATTACAACTTCAGAAGCACATAAATGCTTCCATAAATGCCAGCTTTGCAAACCAAGTCTATGAGGGAAGAGCAGGCAGGTTCTCCAAGTCTTGGGAAAGTCCAGGGTTTGAACTCAATTTTCAGGGTCTCTTCTCTTGACTTGCTCAGCTATATGTTAGTATTTGGTTTTGTTCTTTTGATTCCTTCTCTGCCACTGGTCATCCCTGAAAGTTGTTCAGGGACCAGGAAGGTCTAAGTGGATTAAATTCAGGAAGCTGAAGACCGCAGGGACCCTGCCTTCCAGTCTTGCCCATGGCTCCAAGTCATGGATTCCACAGTGCCAGGAAACTCCATGATGAATTAGTTCATGAACTGTATGAGGGATTGGTTATGGGGTATCCCCTGCCCCCATGGCCATTGTAGCATACCTGGTGGGCACAGAGACCTCAGAAACCCCAGAAGAGTGCTTATATCCATGATATTTTGCTCACCTTACCATAAACCATCATCAAAGACTGTTGTTTTGACTAATCAGCACCTGTAAGCACCCAAGGGCTTTCAAAACACGCTTACATCTGTCTTGCTTGATCCTTTTCATATCTGTGAGAAGTAGGCAGGACAGGTGATGATCTCCTCTGTTCCTACAAGGCCACCAAGGATCTCAGAGAAGTGATACATATACTCAATGTCTCAGCATAAATGATGGACAGAGCCAGGATTTGAATGTTAGCCTCCTGCCTTTAAATTCTGGGTACCCTAATTTGACTTGGTTGTGTGGAACAGACTGAGACATGGACATTGAATTTTGGGTCTGAGAGCCCTGGTTTCAGATCTAAGCATTATCACTCACTTCCTGATCACCTTGAGTGAGTTTTTTAACTGGCAAGCCTCAGTTTGCACCCTGGTACCACAGGGACATGACCAGCACCCGGCAGGATTGTTATGAAATATAAATGGAGACGCGATGATCTTGGACACCACGGATACACCACCAAGCTTATCTCCTTTAAATTCTTATTAATTTAATTAAAATAACATTTATTTGTGTGGGGTGTGTGTGTGTGTGTGTGTGTGTGTGTGTGTGCATGCATTCCATGGCACACATGTGAAGATCAAAGGGCAACTTGTAGTTGGTTCTCTCCTTCCACTACGTGGGTCTTGGGAAATGAACTCAGGTCGTTAGGCTTAGCTGCAAACGCCTTTACCCACGGGGCACTTTCTGGCTTACCTCTCTTAAAATTTTTTTTTCATATTTTATTTATTATTTTTATTTTATGTGTATGTGTGTATTGTCTGTGTGTAGGTAAGTGCACCAGTGTCGTGCAATGCCCGTGGAAGACAGAAGAGGCTGTCGGATCCCCTGGAACTAGAGTTACGAACGGTTGTTAGCTGCCATGTGGGTGCTGGGATTTGAACCTGGGTCTTCTGCAAGAACAACCGGTGTTCTTAACCGCTGAGCCATCTCTCCAGCCCCCTTAGCTCTCTTTTTAAGAAATATTTCATTTATTTAAAAAATTCATCATCATTATTATTACTGTATGTGTGTATGAGTGCAGGCATGCACGTGCCACAGCACATGTGTGGAGGTCAGAAGACAATTTTCAGAAGCTGGTTCTCTCTTTCTGCCTTAGGACCCAGGGATCAAACTGAGGGCGTCAGGCTTGCAGGATAAGCCCTTGTACCTGAGCCACCTCGCTGGCCTGCATTTCATTTTAAATTAGCTCACAAAGCAGCAGATTTCCTCGTGGCATCCTTGCATGTACTTCACTTGACCCTCTTCCTCCCCTTTGTCCTGTCTTCCTGCTTCCCGGCCTTGCTGAGCCCTTCCACCCCTAGCATTCCCCTTTTAGTTTTCATACCACATGTGCTATATTACTACCCATCCTTCCTCCTTAAAGTCCTTTAGTTCCCTCCTTCTATGGGTCCTTTTCCAGCTTTCTGGCCTCTACAAACACTCGTCCTACACACACATACACACACACACACACACACACACACACACACACATACACACACACACACACACACACACATACACACACACACACACACACACACATACACACACACACACACACACACACATACACACACACACACACACACACACATACACACACACACACACACACACACATACACACACACACACACACACACACACACACGTACACACATACACACACAAATTAGAAACTAGAATCCACGTGTAAGAGAGGGCTTGTGATGTTTGTCTTTCTGAGCCCAATTTATCTCACTTAATATAACATTTTTCAGTTCCATTCATTTTCCTGAAAATTTAATAGTTTCATTTTTCTTTATGGCTGAATAATATTCCATTGTATTCACGTTCCTCCCCCCTTTTCATTGCCCCAGTGGCCCAAGCATAGGTGAGCAGCTTTGAGAGTTGGTGAGTTCAGGTGACAGATGGACAGATTGGGTTCCTTAGGGGAAGGCAAGTAGGGAGGACAGGAACCAAATGTCATATGCAAGGCCACTCCTAGTTTATGGGATCTGGGGCAAAGACTCTTTGAAGAGGCAGTAAAATATAGTCTGCTAGAAATGACAACAGCCAAGAGTCCTGACTTAGCAAACCCAACTGAACAATTTTCTCTTTTTACAAGGAAAGGAATTCTGGATGAGCAGCAAAATTGACATTCTAATGAGATAAGCTTTCTGGGACAGGAAAAGGCTTTCCTAAGAGCTAAAGATGTGAACATGCCAACACCCCATGGAGATTGTATATAAACACTCCAGAGAGGTCTGGAGAATCCACAGTCTCAGCTCCTGGCTAAGCCTTCCTCGACAGAGCCTTCCTCACTAGCATCATGGCCACCCAGTTCTGCACCCGGACCTTCTCCACTGGGTCTGCCAAGAGCCTCTGTGGCACAGCAGGCAGCTTCTCTCGGATGTCCTCCATCCACTCTGTGGGCTCTTGCAGGGCCCCTAGTTTGGTTGGCACAGTGGGGTCCATGTCCTCATACAGGACAGGCTTCTCTGGCCTTGGGAGCTGCTTGCCTGGCTCCTACCTGTCCTCTGGGTGCCACTCCTCTGGCTTTGCTGGGACCGGAAGCTGGCTCTGCGAGGGCTCCTTCAATGGCAATGAGAAGGCAACCATGCAGGTCCTGAACGACCGCCTGGCCAACTACCTGGAGAAGGTGCGGCAGCTGGAGCAGGATAACACGGAGCTGGAGAACCGCATCCGTGAGTGGTATGAGTGTCAGATCCCGTACATCTGCCCCGACTACCAGTCCTACTTCAAGACCATCGAGGACTTCCAGCAGAAGGTAAAAACCAGGCCCCATTCCAGCCGAGCAGCCCAACTCTTGGGAGCCTCTCGTTTCAAGGGTAGTTTACAAATTCTCCTGAAAGAGCAAGCTTGGCTCTGTGGGTCTTGGTTTCCTGGGGGAACCCAGGCTTCTCTGCTGGTCTCATACGTACCCCATTGCTAGCCATTCCTCTTTCCCTCATTGTGTCAGCTTAAAGAGGAGAGGCTCATGTCCTTAGCACCCACTGGATATACTGCATGTGCTACTTGCCCAACCACTGGTGAATTTACTGTTCATCTTGGAGACATGGCATTACTGTGCCTATCTAACAGACAAGGAGATTGAATTTTGAGATGCTCAGCAACCAAAATCATACAGCCTAAATGTTGGATCCAGAATTCGAACATAGGTCTTCCTCACTTTGGCATATCCCACTGGGTCACTCTGGAGGTTATGGAAGCTGGCTGGTGATGTGGTGTCTCCTGACCAGTGATGTTGTATCCCTCCTGGGACTCATTCTCCCTCCATGCCTGAATATTTGAACGTGCTTCTTGTACTCAGAGGCATCTGTGAGCTGGGCTGTCCCCTCCCTATGGCCCTCACATTGCTGGACCTTCCCCAGCTCACGGGAAGCCTCTTGTTCCCCAGATCCTGCTGACCAAGTCTGAGAATGCCAGGCTGGTCTTACAAATTGATAATGCCAAGCTGGCTGCAGATGACTTCCGGACCAAGTGAGTGGCTTGACCAGGGGAGGTTTGCTCTATCAAACTCTGTCCCCTGCCTTTGGGAGCTGGTGAGGTGGGAAACAGGCCAGATGTAGCTGTAAATGGGAGGATGTACCATAGGCCCTGGATCCTCCTTGGGACAAGGGAAAGGACCACTGTGTTCCTGACTCCAAGTCAGCCATAGTGACTGAGCAGCTAGGGCATGGGGTCTCCCTTTCCTGGGCTTGGATTCCCTTGCTGCAAACTCGGCAGTGTTCTGTGTGCACAGGTATGAGACAGAGCTGTCCCTGCGGCAGCTTGTAGAGGCCGACATCAATGGCTTGCGCCGGATCTTGGATGAGCTCACCTTGTGTAAGGCTGACCTGGAGGCTCAGATGGAGTCTCTGAAGGAGGAGCTGCTGTGTCTCAAGAGGAATCATGAAGAGGTGAGGCTGCTGCCAGTTGACCCCAAGGTTCCCATCCAGTTGAGGAACCCATACTGGCTCTTGGGCTTATTTACATGAAGCATTTTACCTATCATTTCACCCTCACAGCAATCTCAAGCAATCCATTTTATGAATGAAAAAATTGGCACAAAGATGTCAAGTTACTTGTCTATGGTCATACAGAGCCCACACTGTTGCCCACCATACTAAAACTTCCTTTGGCCTATGGTGTCTGATAATAATTCTATGTGCCGGATGTTTCAGCATGCCTCAAATCTTTAGGGAGGGTTTGGTATAGGCCAATGGGGAGACCCTGCTCAGAGAGGTTAGCACTCTCATCTAATGATACCCAGCATGCAGCAAAGCTTTGAACTCAGGTCATCAACTACCAACCCAGCATTTCACAGCCCTGAGCCACCTCACTTTGTCCCTGTAGGAAGTCAATGCGCTCCGTTGCCAGCTTGGGGACAGACTGAATGTGGAGGTGGATGCTGCCCCTCCAGTGGATCTCAACAAGATATTGGATGACATGAGATGCCAGTATGAGACTCTGGTGGAGAATAACCGCAGAGATGTGGAGGCCTGGTTCAACACACAGGTGGGGCTGGGGCAGCTGAGGACCACTGGCTGCTGGGGTGGGGTAACTGTATAAAGCTGTGCTTGGTCAACCCTGTTCTGCATTCTCTTCTGCTGTGTAGACTGAGGAACTGAATCAGCAGGTGGTGTCCAGCTCAGAGCAGCTGCAGTGCTGCCAGACAGAGATCATCGAGTTGAGACGAACTGTCAATGCCTTGGAGATTGAACTGCAGGCTCAGCATAGCATGGTAGGTGGCCTCTGCCAGAGTGACAGACCATAGCTCATGGCAGCCCCCCCTGACCCACCAGCTATCACACTATCATAGGGCCTGACCACAGCCATGTGCAGAAATCAGGATCATGGGTTCTTAGGGAGAGATTCTTTCCCCTCAATAGCTCTTCTTCCTCATTGTAGCGGAATTCCCTGGAATCCACCCTGGCTGAGACCGAGGCCCGCTACAGCTCCCAGCTGGGCCAGATGCAGTGCCTGATTACTAATGTGGAGTCCCAGCTGGCTGAGATCCGCTGTGACCTGGAGCGGCAGAACCATGAATACCAGGTATTGCTGGACGTGAAGGCCAGGCTGGAGTCAGAGATCGCCACCTACCGCTGCTTGCTGGAGGGCGAGGATTGCAAGTGAGTGACCATGGGGACCCTGAGAGCTTTGCTCAGATGTTGCAAAGATAAAGGGGACCAAGTTAAAGCCACTGGAGATTTCCTCTGGTCCTAGGCTTTGGTAATGCCCAGGGGACACACCAACCAGGGGAGTTCCTAGTCTTCCCTCCTACAGTCCTATCTCATCTCTCTTGGGGTTTCAGAGGCTTTGAAATGCTTGTAACCATTCACTGTCGTTACTACTGGCCCATATGATCCCCTAAATCTGTTTAAGACTAATCTCAGTCCAATGCACCAATGACAACGTCAAGTCCACCTGCTATGATTTCATTCCCTCAGGCTTCCTGCCCACCCCTGTGCCACAGAATGCAAGCCTGCTGTAAGAGTTCCTTACATCCCCTCTACAACCTGCACCCCAGCTGGACCCTGCACCCCAGCTGGACCCTGCACCCCAGCTGGACCCTGTACTCCAGCTCCACAAGTCAGCACCCAGATCCGTACCATCACCGAAGAGATCAGGGATGGGAAAGTCATTTCCTCCAGGGAACACGTGGTGTCCCATCCACTGTGACCACCCACCATGGGGCCTGGGACACAGGAAGGAGGACACCCTGTGGTTCCCCGCAGCTAAATGATCTTGTGTCTCCCTAAAGGGCCCTCCTTGCTTAGCAAGTTTTTCTATCAAAATTCTTCTATTGTTTCTGGTCTTAACTGTGCTTTTTATGCCTTGCAAAACCAGCTTTCCCTGGAAACGTACCCAATAAAGTGTTCTCTTGCATAGCAAGCTCGATCCTGACTGATTCTGTTGATTCTCCCATCATTAGTTGGCTGGGGTGTTTCAGCATGGGTTGCAGTAAAGTTGTGATAGTGATTTGAAATATTTAATATTGGAGATATTTCAGGTTCTGATCAACAGACACTGACCCCCACATCTGGGTGGGTGTTTGCCTTAGTTTCCAGCTTAGAGGTGCCTGTGGTCACCCAACCTAGGGACACAAACATCCCCCTGCTGCATCTTCTTGGGCAGCCCTTCTCCCTTGCCCAGCCCCTGTCTTACGCCTTCCCAACATGGGTCAATTTAATAGAGGCAGTCCCAGGGCCAACCAGAGAGGGCCAGTCTCCAGGGAGTCAGCCTGAGCCACCCACACCAGAGACAAAATTTTGGGTGAACTGGAAGGTGAAGGCAGAGGATCAGGCCAAACCATATTTCCAACATGGGGTATGGGAATGGCAGAGGACAAGCTGGATAGGTACATAGGGGCGCTTTTGTATTGTTTTATAAAGACACATTTGTATTCTATGTTGTAGAAAAGATGTTGCATATACATGTTATCAGACATGGTTTATGGGTTCTAAGTTAACTCCCACCCCAGCCCAGATGGCCCTGGAGGAGCACAAGGTTGATAATGGCAGGCACTTAGTATTTCAAGAAGTGTCTGAACTCAGGCAGCCAGAGAATGAGGGAGGAGAGCAAAGGATGACGAGAGAGGCACAGATATCGTGAGTCTCAGAATCATGTCTAATCTGACCAGAGGAGCAAGACTGGGTTCCAGAGGGACTGACTGGATTCATTCTCTCATCCAGTCCCACTTCCCATGAAGTTGCTGGCTGGAGATGAGATTTTATATGTGTGTGTGTGTGTAAAAATGTATACATATATATTTATTTTTATTTTTATTTATTTATTTTTAAACCTCTTTGTTTTTAAAAATATTTTATTTATTATTTTGATTTTATGCATATGAATGTATTGCCTGCATGTGTGTAAGTGCTCCTATGATGTAAAATGCCCACAGAGGTCAGAAGAGGACAGTAGATCC